TGGCACCTTAGAGACTAACCAATTTATTTGAGCATAAGCGTGAGCTGTAGCTCACGAAAGCTTACGCTCAAATAAATTGGTTAGTCTCTAAGGTGCCACAAATACTCCTTCTCTGTTCAAATCCTCTCTCCCCATCAGGCAGCAGGAGGAACTGAATCTGGATCTCCCTTATCCCAAATGAGTGCTTTAACCAGGGGGTTAAAGTTATCAGGTGGACACCACCTCTTTCTGTGTGGAGTGAGGTAATTACATAACTCCCCCTTACAAGAAAGGGCTTAGGCGTCTAAGCGACCTGATGCCAGGAGAGAGGGTTCCCCATTGTGGAATGCACATAGAGATAGACACTTTTCTGCAGCCCGGAATTAGAAATCTTCATAACAGCTTAAGTCACACAGCTCTTGTCAGTCTTTCCTACTGGCTAGCTTAGGCAGTTCCCCATCTAGTTGATTGCATTCTTAAAGTGCCTATCTTGCGACATTCATTGTAAAGGAAGCCTAGGCACTTAATTCAGGCTATGTGGATCCCAGGTAGTTTGAATGATTTTCTAGCCACCTATAAGCTAGGGACTGTGACATTCAGCATCACAACACTTTTGTACAACTGGACCTATAATTTAAATTTTGAACCTCCTACTTATGACAGAGTCTCCTTAAGATTTATTGGAATTATACATAACTAGAGGTAGTTACACTACTGAAATATGTGACTAAATTATAAAAACAAATTACTATGGCCCAATTCTTCAATCAGATCTGCATGGGCCCCTGTGCCTGAACAGATCCCCATTTAGCTGGTACAAGGGGTCAGTCACATGAATCAGGATTGGAGCCTGATTTCTATTCAACAGTGACGCTTCATGGAGATGCGTCTCGAAAACATATATATAGTACAATGGAACTTAAAATAACTGGAAAACAACATAGGCTAACATTTACCAGGAATCTTTTGTGAGAATACTTTTTCAAACACACATGGCTGAACTGTACTTGCTATTTATTAGTACACAAAAATCATCAAGATTTGTCAATAAAATGGATTCCTGAAAATTATTCCAGAATTTTAGCCATTTAGTAAACATATTTGTGCAGTTTTTTAAAATAGAAGTTTGACTATGTTTATAATTTATTTTTTCATTTCTCGTTAATTGCATGACTAATGAAGATAATTATCTCTTAACTGTACTAATGCACAATTATATTACATATACTAATTAAAAATATAACACCAGGTCTATGTTTACTGCAAAAACTTAATTTTTCAGGCCTTAAAGAAGAACAAAAAAAACTTACCAGCTGAAATTTCTTTTTCTCCCTGAAGAATGTCTTTTAGGGCAAAAGGTGTCGAAGCAAATTTAGATTTTTTTGAAAGAAAACATTTTCTCTTCTTAATAACAAGACTCAGAGGTTGGTATTTGTCAGCCTCACTGAGGCTAGGAACAGGGACTAATCTCCCACCATCACCAACCTGCTTAACAAAGTTTTTGGTAGCAGCAGCAAACATAGTATGGCATTAATAATAATAATTAAAAAACCTGTATCAACTGCAGCTTCCAAACCTCATACTCATGTTAAAATATTTTAGTAATTGAATTCTCACATGGCAAAACTTAGAGTCTAGCTGCTTTGTTTAAAGCCTAGTTACATTTTACTTGGAAAAGAGAATCAGTAGGGTCATCACCACCCAGCTTCTACAGTGTATTGTTTTCCAACTTCCTTCTGTTATGCCATCTAATCCAGTACAATGAATAATAAATTAACTGTGTAAACTGATACAGAGATGATTGCTCAATCTTCAGTAGTATAATGCCATTATTTGAAAATAAGATGATTGCTTTAGAATCAAAAGACTACTAAATTCTGCAGTCATCTTTTTTTGTTGTGATTGCAAAGACAATGATATATTTGCCGTTTAATGTGCCTATTATCCAGCTGGATCCCAAAGTGCTTTACCAACGGGAATTCACCTGAGCAGGCCTGCTGAGCTACACAATTGGGGGCTGGAGGAGATTCCTTTCAGTGGTGGTTGCATAATAACTCTATTAAAGAGCTCAGCCCTGAAGAAATAAACTTCAGATTGTGTGAACCTTTCTAAACGTTTTCCTTAGTTGATGTGTAGATATGACTTTACCCAAAGTTAGGGGACTTTACTGTATGTTAGTCTCTCCCCAGGGTGAGGAAAGCAGAGATTTTTCTCAGCGTGGTATGGTCTCACCTCTAAAAGAGTCTACTTTGCTGATGTTTACTGTCTTTTCTGGCTGGTTGGTGCATTTGAGTCAGGAGGGCTTGGTACATGTGTAATATTTTCTGTATCAGAAAGGATATTCTTGTGTTTTATTGCCTCTCCCCACATGATTATGTGTGGATTTTGTTCTGTGAGCTTGGGATGGGGGAAGAGGAATTTAACAGTTTGTTCCTTTATGGATGGTTGTGTGTGTCTGTGGGGCGGGGAAGGAAGATTACTGGGGTGTGTCAGCATTTGGTAGGAGGATGTGACATACCAGGATACGATCCAGGCTAATGAGTAGCTATGTCACCCCTTCCTTGTAACCTGGGGTGCCTTTTACAATGCCTTGTTGCTGTAGCCTTAACCTGGACCGCTCACAAACAGCATGTAAATCTCTCCCAGTTATGTCTGTATGTGTGCTGCTGCAGCCAGCCAACCACACTTTGGCTCTTATCAGCCTTAGTTATGCTGCAGGGTGACTCCCACATGCCCCCCATCACAGATTTTCCTCCAGAAACATATGTCCTATATTGCACAGCCCCCCCCCCCGCAGACAGTACACATACAACTTGTTACCATAAATGGAGTTACCCAGATATTTCAGCTTGAGCACACTGGATTAGATACAAAAAGTTTATTAACATAGAAATACTTGTACTCACTTAAAAGCTAATGAGCCATAAAAGTAAAAAATGGTTACAAAGAAAAATAAAAGTAAAATGCTCACTAGTGCCTAACTTAACAAAGCAAAAAGTTCTCACCACATGCTTTCACGAGTCTTACACTGACCAAACTCTTTAGGTCAGGACACCTGCCCTAGAGTATCCAATTACTGCTGCCTTTGTTTCCTCAGGTGCAGTGAATGCAAATGGCAGGGAAAGAGACAGAGAGGGGTGTCTTCAGGTGTTTGACCCTCCTTTTTATAATTTCAGTTCCCCTCTTGAAACATATTTCCAGCTGAGACCCAGGAGATAAAGAGTCTACCTGGAAAGATATTCCCTGATAGTTTTTTCACCTGTTTGAATTTCATCTTCCCTTCCTGCCTGATGACTCTGTTCACTGCTTAAATGCAAATTAAAGCAAGCACACAGTCCATTGTTTAGGACAGACCTATTTGCCAGTATCCAGTGGTGAGCTGGAGACGGTTTGCACCAGTTCAATGGAGCTGGTTTTTAAATTTAGAAGCCCTTTTAGAACTGGTTGTCCCTCAAAAGGGCTTCTAAATTTAGCAACCGGCCAAAAACAGCCCATTAGGCGCCTACTCAGTGGGTGCTCCGGGGCTGGAGCACCCACGGGGAAAATTTGGTGGGTGCACAGCACCCACCGGCAGCTCCTAACCCCGCCCCATGTCCGGCCCCAATTCACCTCCACTCTGCCTCCTCCCCTGAACACACCGCCCCGCTCTGCTTCTCCCCGCCTCCCCGTGAATCAGCTGTTCGTGTGGGAAGCCTGGGAGGGCTGAGAAGAAAGCGGCAGCTTCACACTCAGGCCCAGGGAGGCGGAGGCGAGCTGAGGCAGGGGGCACGAGGAGGGCTGCCCATGCCGCAGCAGGTAACCCAAAGGGGGGGGGGACAGGGGAACCTCTCCCCGCCCCAGCTCGCCTCTGCCTTCCTGGGCCTGAGCACAAAGCCGCCGCCTGCTTCTCAGCCCTTTCCGGCTTCCCGCGCAAACAGCTGATTCGCGAGAAACCGGAGGGGGTGGGGGGAGAGAAGCAGAGCGGGGCAGTGCGTTCAGTGGAGGAGGGGGAGATGAGGTGAGCTGGGGCCGGGCGGGGAGCTGCCGTTGGGTGCTGTTCACCCACCAGATTTTCCCCATGGGTGCTTCAGCCCTGGAGCACCCACGGAGTCGATTGCTCCCCCTCTAGCTTCGCTACCCCACCCCTAGGAGCCAAAGGGACCTGCCGGATGCTTCCCAGGAGCCGCACCAGGTAAGCCCCGCCGGGACTCCCCACCTCACCCTCTGGCTCTTAGGGATGGGGCAGGGTGGGCACCCACTACGGTGGCCCACGAGACCCTCCTGCCCGGTTCTAGGGGCAGTCAGGGGACAGGAGAGTGGGGGTGGATGGGGGAGGGGGTTGGATAGGGCAGGAGTCCTGCAGGGGGGCACGACCCCCTTGTGGGTTGAAGAGGGAACCGGTTGTTAAGATTTTGGCAGCTCACCACTGCTAATATCTGTATGGGCAGGACGGTGAGGTTTGGAACCTGGGTTAATAACAACTACATGGGGGAATCTTAGAACTTCCCATACAATGTTGCCACACATATCTCACCAAGACGTTACTAAAAAGAAAGTTATGAATTTCCAAGTGATATCTTACAAGGTATACGTTGTATAAAGATTACTACAATAGCGTGTAGGGGTAAATTTGAGTTGCCCACTCTCCAGGATTACCCTGGAGTCTCCAAGAATTAAAGATGTCATGTGATGAAATCTCCAAGAATACATCCAACCAAAATTAGCAGCCCTAGCCTAACACCACAGAGGGGCACAGGGGATTTTGCTATGCTTTCAGTGTTCATATATATATATGAGTGGGAAGGGGCCTACGTTAGGGTTGAGGGAGGGGGAATACAGGGCTTCCCACTCTGCCCCATGGGTGTGTAGGGGACTGCGGGGGGGGGGGAGCATTACTCTCCCCTCCGGGATTTCTGCGGGAAGAGGGAAGGAGGTTTGTGCATCACTCGCCAGGCCACACAGGGTGCGCTCCGCGAGGGCCGGGCCCATCCCCTCCGGCCCCATAGGGTGCACCCCGCGGAGGGGGGCGGGCAGGAAGGACTGTCGTCCTCCGGGGAGGTGCCGGGCACCGCAGCGGGAGAAAGCGGGGGCTCTGCCGAGCAGGAACTGCAGGTAGCGCCGCCCCGCTCTGCCAGCGCGTCCCCGCCCTCACAACACGCCGACTAGGGGGACGCGCTTCGCTGGGAGGCGGAGGCGGCCGGCGGCCCGGCCATGTCTCAGGAGAGCTTCCCGGCCGCGACCCAGCAGAGCCCGGAGGCGGAGGACGAGCCCCGCAGGTCAGGGCCCAGTGGGGCATTGTGGGTAACTAGGGACACCTCTCCCACTCCCCACAGGCGCGCGAGCGGCCGCGGCCAACTGCTGCCTGCGGGGGTGGGACCGGCCGGGCTCGTGCCCCCGCCCCATTTTCGCTGGGGCCCGGCAGACCCAGCCCGTCGCCTCACCGCGGAGCGAGCGGGGAAAACGGCGGTCCCTGCCGGAGGCTGCAGCCTTAGGCGGGCCGCGGATTGCCCAGCGTGAGCCCTGTCGCCCCCAGGGAGCGGCCAGCTGCGTCCCGCCCTTCGGCCTGGTTCCGGCGCGGGGCCTTTACCCCCGCCGGCTCTCAGCGCAGCCTGGGCCTGAGTTTAGCCCCACCCCCCAGGGGGGCTGCAAGTGTAGATGCTGCCCCAGCCCGCGCTCGACCGGCCGGCCGGCCCGCCTGCCTTCCAGAGGCGCCCGCCAGCCCCTGAGGCTCAGTCCCTTACCCTGGGAGGTAGAGTGATGCCGTTAGAGGCAGCCTCAATAGCCCTTAAACTCAGCTCCCTCTTGACGATCCCTCTCAGTCATGTCAGTGTAAAGTTAGCAAAAAGAAAAGGAGTACTTGTGGCACCTTAGAGACTAACTAATTTATTTGAGCATAAGCGTTTGGTTAGTCTCTAAGGTGCCACAAGTACTCCTTTTCTTTTTGCGAATACAGACGAACAGCTGTTACTCTGAAACCTGTAAAGTTAGTGTGGTTAGCGGATGTAAGCAGGACTCCACATCCTTGAAAAGGAGCCACCTTCATGGAAAAAGAAAAGGAGTACTTGTGGCACCTTAGAGACTAATCAATTTATTTGAGCATGAGCTTTCGTGAGCTACAGCTCACTTCATCGGAAACCTTCATGGAAGAATGTGACAGCTGCTAAACAAGGCCCAGCACCTTCATGGACCTTTCCAGTTCAAACCAGAAGTGGTGGACTTATAGGTGGAAAGACAGTAATCACCCCCACCCCCAGCAAGAAAGATCCTTAGAAGTATTTAGGTGTCCAACAGCCCATCTTTCAAACAGTGCCATGGTACATTGTTTCATGATACTTCCAACAGCATAATGTTCTGTTATCCTAGTGGTGTAGCAAAATAAATAATATAGGGAGGGGGAAAAAAAAGTCTAGACCATGTTCCAAGCCTGACAAGGACAATGTTTGTGTACCATGATCCTACAAATGCACATGTTTGACTTTAGGCATGTGATTAGTCCTGGCCTAAAACACCAGTTCTTGAAATAGCTAGGCTTTTGTTGGAGAAAAGCTTCCCGGGATGGCCAACCTAAGCCGGAGAAGGAGCCAGAATTTACCAATGTACATTACCAAAGAACTACAGTAATATGTAACGATTATGTATATATGTGTGTGTGTGTGTGTATATACACACACACATCATTATATAAGTTCATAATGTATATTTATGATACATTTATAATGTACAGTTAATGATAATCTTTTACTTAGTGGGACTTCTGGCAATCCTTGCTTTCAACAGTTCCCTTGAAGTTTGTTTTGTATGCAGTTGTGCTCACACGCAGCAGTTCTCTTAAGCGGCTGTCTGTCAAAATGGATCGGTGCTTGGATTTCACATGTTTGAGCGTCAAGAAAACAGACTCACAAAGATAGGTTGAGATAAGCATCGAGATTAATTTTAGAGCTGCACCTCTGATGGGGTATTTATCCTTTGGTACACCTGAACACCCACCATTTTTTCCCCAGAGTTGGCTCCTAGCAGGAGCTGCATATTAACTTCTGAAGAGCCGCATGCGGCTCTGGAGCCACACGTTGGCCACCCCTGAGCTATCCAGATACAGTTAACTTTTGAACCTGGTGAGTTTGAGATAGATTGAGCTTGCACCCACTATGGAACTGTCACCTTCAGATCCTCCTCAACAATGATTGTTTTTTTGCTGTGGAGAATTAGTAAGTGCTTTCGTATCCAACCACTTGTCCATATTGTAACTGAAGCCACTCCCAGTTGTCTTGGTGATCAGAAGAAAGTGTTAATTACTTGTAATGTTACTTTGCAAATATTTTGTTTCCCCTGTTCCTATCAGCCAATAGAACAGTTGCCTACAAAAATCCTCTACAAAAATTGTTTTCTATCACATTATATATGCTTCTTTATTGCTGTGTTTAAGAATGATCCTGTATTTGAAGTGTTTGTTACCTAATCTGTATTCTGGTTTCATAGCATGCAGCTTCCATCAGAGCTGAAAACCACTTCCAATTGTCAGTGCAGGCTTTCAGCATAAAATAACTTTTCTTTCATCACCTAGTGAGATCAATTTGATGTTTTGTAACTTGAATGGACAATGACAAACTGTCTTGAAACAGAGGTAATAAGAGCCTTTCACAAGGTGGTCAGTGATTTGAATCCACTGCAATTCAGTAGCAACCAAAATTCATTCACAGACCTATGTAAACTAATTGGAGTCCATCTGGTTTCTTGTTGATAGGGGTCTGTATTACAGAATGACATTCTTGTTGGCAATTTCAGCATATTGAATCGTCATGGAGTCTGTGTGTGCTTCTCACTTTAGGCAGCCTCTTTAGAAGAGAGCTGAGGTACATAGGATGGCACTTTGTAGAGAATTTTGCACTGTCACTACTCATACTATAATAGTGCTGTTACTAGTCTCCTGATTTGTCCATCTGGTACTCTTTGAGCACTAAATTTGCTTTACAATGTAGAGCTGATAGTTCTGAATAGTCTACAAATGCATGTAGGTTCTCCTGATGCAAAAACTTCATACATGTGCTTGGTTTTAAATACTTGTAGTCTATTGGGTACTAAGATAGGAAGTCTTGTAAATCTGAGAAACTGCAGGGTTTTTTGTTTTCAACATATCCCTCTAACTCTGTCCCCTGTACGTTCGAGGCAAAGCTTTTGCCAAATCCTGTTGCTTTTTCCTCCACAACAGCTTGTAAATTAACTTTTCTGTCTCTTTCCCAAATGCTAAATACAGACATACCTTAGTTTAGCTTAATCACGTTGTGACTGTCTGAGCTACCTGTTTTTTCTCTAATCACAAGAGTTCTCAGACTGGGGGTCATGACCCCTCAGGGGTTGCAAGTACATGCCTCCCAGCTAGCTAGCAAGTCTGCTGTGAAAACTGATATTTATATGTTTATTAATATCAATTTTCACAGCCTCCCAGCTAGCTAGCAAGTTCACTGTGAAGTCTGCGCTAGTAAATCTGCTGTGAAAAGTGATATTAACAAACATACAAATATCACTTTAAAATAGCGTTAAGTATAAGGGGTCGCACTCAGAGAGCTTTCTGTGTGAAAAGGGTTGCCAATCCAAAATGTTTGAGAATCACTGCAATCTTTTCCCTTTCTCTGCTGCAGCTAAAATACTCTTCCTTTCTTGCTGTTCTAGTTCTCAGGTGCCCATCCCTAAAGCCTCTTATTGCGCATTCTGAAACAAGTTTAAGCTCAGACCTCTGGGTAGCTTTTCCCCCTACCTACATCTCAGTTCTTGTTTCCTCCTATACTGCAAAACAAACTTCCTATATATGAATGGATACAAGGCCCACCAAACTGAGAATTCGTTAAACTATTTTTGCCACAACCAGATTTGAGTTTTAGTGGGTGGTAGGGTTTTTTTAATATATAATTTTATCCTTTTACAGGAGCTAGAACTGATTTTAAAAAAATGGAAATTTGGGAGATAATATTGGCCTAGTAAATAGGGTGCTGCATTGGGACTCAGTAGACTGGGTTCTATCCTGGTCTACCATGGGACCTTGGACAAGTACTTTGCTTCCCTATAACTCGGTCTCCCCATCCCAATGTAACAATGCTTGTCCTTTTTTGTAAAGTGCTTTGAGATCTGTGGATGAAAAGTGCCACAAGAGCCAAGTATTACAATTATTTCCTCAAAGTTTCAGTGAAAAAAAAAAAGTAAGATTCAGATTTTTTTTGACCAGCTCTAAATACAGTTTTCCCTTCTAAATTATTTTATTTTGTAAATTATTCATCGGGAAATTTTCTTCTTTTCTTTGTAGCTTGGAGGAAATGATTGTTGCCAAACCAGGGAAAACACCAATTCAGTTGTTACATGAATATGGCACGAAGGCTGGTATCACTCCTGAGTACAACTTTGAGAAGGCTGAAGGACAAGTACATCTTCCAAGTTTCACCTTTAAAGTCACAGTAGGTGAAATAACGGGCACAGGTCTGTAATGTTACTACACTTTGGTATGGTGGTTGGCAGTGGTTTAAAAAAAAAATTTAAGTACTTACAATGTGTTTTTCATTAGAAAATACAAAAAAAAAAAATTCTATGATTTGACCATTTCATTTATTTAATTCGTTAATATGCTTTGCTTTTGCTCCTTCCAGTACTTGCCAAACTTTAACAGCTTTGCCTAAAAGGCAAGCTTTCAGGGTGGATTTTATTTAAATCACTACTCAGGAAGACTCGATTTAATCATGGATTTCTACATAAAAGTGCATTCTTGTTGGTTGTTATAACCTTAATACATATTCTTCACAACTCAGGGATAGATGTTTCATTTTTAGAAGGTACACACTATACATTTTTAAAGTGATTAATTTTGAAAACTTTTCAGATTAGTTTTACAGCTATATCAGAAAATGAATGATTGTTTGGTTATTTCATTTACCAAAAGTAAGACACTGGGAGGTGAACTATCATTAATATTTGGAGGATTTTCTTGCCATGCTGTATTAGGAGGAGATCATCACCAGACAGACATTTAAGTTGTTTTATTTAACTAAAACAACAACGTTATGTATTCTGGATTTTTTTCTTCAAACAGCAAACATAATATTTTAACAAAACAAGCATATGAATTTTTTAATTTAGTTAAACATTCAAGTTTTTTAAAATCAGGTTTGTTTTTGTTAAAATTATTTAACTTATAGTTAAATGAAATATTTTAAAAAAATTAAATAGACTGTGTCAGCCAGGTCAACATGAGAAACTTAAAATATTGGTTCTGTATCTAACTCGGTTGTCTTTA